AAATGCATTGAAACTCAAATTACTTGTTGTATATCGTTTTAAAGAAGACGATTTCTTCTTTAATTTGATGTCAAAAAAATCCTTCTATCTTAACGAGTTTTTGAATATCTCTTATTAACTTTACCTCAAATTATAGACGGGCTGCAATCGCTTCTATATAATATAGTTTTGCTTGAATAATTTGTGGAAATACAAATTGGTTGTTATAAAAAGAGAATTTCATCTTTAATTTGGTGTCAAAATATATCTATTATTACTAAAAGGATAGCTTGTACGATTTTTTGAAATTCTTGTAATTATGAACTTACTTCCAAATGTAAATAAAATGTAAGTTCCTTTATAATGTTTTTACGTTTAATGTGTTACAATTCAAACTACTTGTTATACAGCATTTTAAAAAAGACGATTTTGTCTTTAATTAGATGTAAAAGAATTTTTCTATCTTGATATAAAAGCTTGTACGAGTAATATATCCAATTTTAACGTCTTTAACAAGCTACAAGTTATAACTTAAAACGGAAAAGTGTCGGAAAATAATTTTCTTATTAAAAAATCTTCCAAATTAACCCCAAAATAGTTTTCCTTAATCACATTTACACTATCGCTATATATTTTCGATCCAATTGCTGAAAATACTAACATATACAATTTTAAAGTCTTCAAAAACAAGCTAGGTCATAAGTTAAAAGGGAAAAATGATGGAAAATAATTTTGTGCTTAAAAAATATTTAAATTATCCCTAAAATAATTTTTCTTAATCACATTTACACTATCACTATGTATTTTCGATCCAATTGCTGAAAATACTAACATATTCAATTTTAACGTTTTCAGTAACAAGCTAGATTATAACTTAAAAAGGAAAAATGCTGGAAAATAATATTGTTATTAAAAAACATTCCAAATTATCCCTAAAACAATTTTCCTCAAACACATTTACACTATCACTAATCATTTTGAATCCAATTGCTGAAAATACTAACATATTCAATTTTAACGTCTTGAACAGCAAGCTGGGTTATAACTTAAAAAGGAAAAATGCTGGAAAATAATATTGTTATTAAAAAACATTCCAAATTATCCCTAAAACAATTTTCCTCAATTACATTTACACTATCACTAATCATTTTTAATCCAATTGCTGAAAATACTAACATATTCAATTTTAACGTCTTCAACAAGCTAGGTCATAACTTTAAAAGGAAAAATGCTAGAAACTAATTTTGTGGTTAAAAAATATTCCAAATCATTCCCAAAATAATTTGGTGTAATCACATTTCCATTATCTCTTAGTATTTTCGATCCAATTGCTAAATACACTGACATATTCAGTTTTAACGTCTTCAACAAGCTAGGTTATAACTGTAAAAGGAAAAATGCTAGAAAATAATTTTGTTATTAAAAAACATTCCAAATTATCCCTAAAATAATTTTCCTTAATCACATTTACACTATCACTATGTATTTTCGATCCAATTGCTGAAAATACTAACATACTCAATTTTAACGTCTTCAGTAACAAGCTACGTTATAACTTAAAAAGAAAAAATGCTCGAAAATAATATAGTTATTAAAAAACATTCCAAATTATCTCTAAAATAATTTTCTTTAATCACATTTACACTATCACTATGTATTTTCGACCCAATTGCTGAAAATACTAACATTCAATTTTAACGTTTTCAGTAACAAGCTAGGTTATAACTTAAAAAGGAAAAATGCTGGAAAATAGTATTGTTAATAAAAAACATTCCAAACTATCCCTAAAACAATTTTCCTTAATCATATTTACATTATCACTTATCATCTTGAATCCAATTGGTGAAAATGCTAACATATTCAATTTTAATGTCTTCAGCAACAAGCTAGGTCATAACATTAAAAGGAAAAATGTTGGAAAATAATTTTGTTAATAAAAAACATTCCAAATCATTGCCAAAATAATGTTGTGGAATCACAGTTACACTATCGCTATATATTTTCCATCTAATTGCTGAAAATATGTACTAACATATTCAATTTTAACGTCTTCAACAAGCTAGGTTATAACTTTAAAAGGAAAAATGCTAGAAAATAATTTTGTGGTTAAAAAATATTCCAAATCATTTTCAAAATAATTTGGTGTAATCACATTTCCACTATTGCTAAGTATTCTCGATCCAATTGCTAAAAACACTGACATATTCAGTTTTAATGTCTTCAACAAGCTAGGTTATAACTGCAAAAGGAAAAAAGCTAGAAAATAATATTGTTATTAAAAAACATTCCAAATTATCTCTAAAACAATTTTCCTTAATCACATTTACACTATCACTATGTATTTTCGATCCAATTGCTGAAAATACTAACATATTCAATTTTAACGTTTTCAACAACAAGCTAGGTTATAACTTTAAAAGGAAAAATGCTAGAAACTAATTTTATGATTAAAAAATAATCCAAGTCATTCCCAAAATAATTTGGTGTAATTACATTTCCATTATCTCTTAGTATTTTTGATCCAATTGCTAAATACACTGATATATTCAGTTTTAACGTCTTCAACAAGCTAGGTTATAACTGTAAAAGGAAAAATGCTAGAAAATAATTTTGTTATTAAAAAACATTCCAAATTATCCCTAAAATAATTTTCCTAAATCACATTTACACTATCACTATGTATTTTCGATCCAGTTGCTGAAAGTACTAACATATTCAATTTTAACGTTTTCAGTAACAAGCTAGGTTGTAACTTAAAAAGTAAAACTGCTGGAAAATAATATTGTTATTAAAAAACATTTCAAATTATCCCTAAAACAATTTTCCTCAATCACATTTACACTATCACTAATCATTTTGAATCCAATTGCTGAAAATACTAACATATTCAATTTTAACGTCTTCAACAACAGGCTAGGTCATAACTTTAAAAGGAAAAATGCTAGAAACTAATTTTGTGGTTAAAAAATATTCCAAATCATTCCCAAAATAATTTGGTGTAATCACATTTCCATTATCTCTTAGTATTTTCGATCCAATTGCTAAATACACTGATATATTCAGTTTTAACGTCTTCAACAAGCTAGGTTATAACTGTAAAAGGAAAAATGCTAGAAAATAATTTTGTTATTAAAAAACATTCCAAATTATCCCTAAAATAATTTTCCTTAATCACATTTACACTATCACTATGTATTTTCGATCCAATTGCTGAAAATACTAACATATTCAATTTTAACGTTTTCAGTAACAAGCTAGGTTATAACTTAAAAAGGAAAAATGCTAGAAAATAATTTTGTTATTAAAAAACATTCCAAATTATCCCTAAAATAATTTTCCTTAATCAGATTTACACTATCACTATGTATTTTCGATCCAATTGCTGAAAATACTAACATATTCAATTTTAACGTTTTCAGTAACAAGCTAGGTTATAACTTAAAAAGGAAAAATGCTGGAAAATAATATTGTTATTAAAAAACATTCCAAATTATCCCTAAAACAATTTTCCTCAAACACATTTACACTATCACTAATCATTTTGAATCCAATTGCTGAAAATACTAACATATTCAATTTTAACGTCTTCAACAACAAGCTAGGTCATAGCTTTAAAAGGAAAAATGCTAGAAACTAATTTTGTGGTTAAAAAATATTCCAAATCATTCCCAAAATAATTTGGTGTAATCATATTTCTATTATCTCTTAATATTTTCGATCCAATTGCAAAATACACTGATATATTCAGTTTTAACGTCTTCAACAAGCTAGGTTATAACTGTAAAAGGAAAAATGCTAGAAACTAATTTTGTGGTTAAAAAATATTCCAAATCATTCCCAAAATAATTTGGTGTAATCACATTTCTATTATCTCTTAGTATTTTCGATCCAATTGCTAAATACACTGATATATTCAGTTTTAACGTCTTCAACAAGCTAGGTCATAACTTTAAAAGAAAAAATGCTAGAAAATAATATTGTAGTTAAAAAATATTCTAAATCATTCCCAAAATAATTTGGTGTAATCACATTTCCACTATCTCTAAGTATTTTCGATCCAATTGCTAAAAACACTGACACATTCAGTTTTAACGTCTTCAATAACAAGCTAGGTCATAACTTTAAAAGGAAAAATGCTAGAAACTAATTTTATTATTAAAAAGTATTCCAAATTATCCCTAAAATAATTCTCCTTAATCATAGTTACACTATCACTATGCATTTTCAATCCAATTGCTGAAAATACTAACATATTCAATTTTAACGTCTTCAACTATAGGCTAGGTTATAACTTTAAAAGGAAAGGTGCACGGAAATAATTTTGTTATTAAAAAACATTCCAAATTATTCCTAAAACAATTTTCCTCAATCACATTTACACTATCACTAATCATTTTGAATCCAATTGCTGAAAATGCTAACAATCAATTTATTAACAATCATCAACAAGCCAGATAACATAACATTAAAAGGAAAAATGCTGGAAAATAATTTTGTTAATAAAAAACATTCCAAATTATTCCCAAAATAATATTGTGGAATCACATTTACACTATCGCTTAGTATTTTTGATCCAATTGCTGAAAATACTAACATATTCAATTTTAACGTCTTTAACAAGCTAGATTATAACTTTAAAAGGAAAAATGCTAGAGAATAATTCTGTTATTAAAAAACATTCAAAATTATTCCCAAAATAATTTTCCGTAATCACATATATACTATCGCTAAGTATTTTTGATCCAATTGCTTAAAGTAATAAGATATCCAATTTTAACGACTTCAACAAGTTATTAATTTATTTTTTGTTTGTTTCAGGTGATCAGTAAGTGTTAATTGTGGTGAATGTGTTAAACTAAGAAAGACTCAAAATGGGTTCGTGGATCTTGATGATCATCGTTGGATTAGTTCCAAACTTATCGGAAGCAATGTGGGAATTGGAAAACGAAAAAATAGACGAAGGTAAGTGTTTTAAATTTTTCTATTAGTATTAAATCAAAAATTTTAAGACATCCACATAATTAACCTGAGTACTGAAAAAATCCTTCCGTATTACCGAATTTATATTCACCATCTCGTTTAAACGCCCAATCAAAACTCCCTTGCGTCGAAGTAACAGCAACATCACCCCCATTAGTAACGGCCATAGCCGCTCCTTTCAGGTACATTCTTAGTTGGAGTTTGAGCAAAGTTTTTTGGGCGGCTTCTAAAGCTGATAAACCTTTACTGATAAAGTATACAATTTCGTGTGCACAATTAGCTTTCATAATCGCCTGACTATCGGTGGTAGTAGCTGCAGCAATCCTATTATCAGCGTAATAACCGGTTCCTACGTTCGCACAACACCCGACCCTTCCAGGTAATTTCCTTCTCATTCCCCCACTGGACATAGCAGTGGATAAATTTCCATTCGGATCTAGAACAATAACCGCTGAAAATCCAGGATATGATTCAGAATTTTTTCGATAAGCTTCTTTTTCCTCTTCGATTATTAAAGATTGTGGGGGAACTCTCGGAAATCCTAAAGTTGTTGCGAATTGATTAGCTCCATGTCCTGCGATGACGATGTGGGGGGTTCTTTGTAGAACCATTTTTGCTAAGGTAACTGGGTGCTCGATGTTGTTTAATCCACTAACGGCGCCTGATCTTAAAGTTTCTCCGTCCATAATCGAAGCTTCCATTTCCACACTCCCTATTGAGTTTAAAACAGAACCTTTTCCACAATTAAAAACTGGATCATCTTCCATTTTCCTACAAACAATCTCTACCGCCTCCAATCCTTTTCCTGTTTGCTCCAAAACTTTATACCCAGCATCAATTGCAGCTCTAATATGTTTCTCGTACGCATTATTTTGAAACCCACAATGAACAGCAATCAAATATTTCGGTCTTTTGGTTGGAGGGGCTGGTTTTGGTTTTAATGGGGGAGGTTGTGGTAATTGGGGTGGTTCTGGTTTTAAAGATTGGTCCGGTTTTTTGGGTTCTTCCGGTTTTTCCGGGATTTCGGGCGGTTTTTGTTGCCCACCTTTATCTTCTGCGAATAACTTTGAGGTTGAATGAAATCGGCACCGTTTTAACAACTTTTTCGAGTAACTACTAAGAATTTGAAACGAATACTTCTGCGACATGATTATTTTTTCACGACATTTTAAAACGAAAATTTATTATAACGTTTCGCGTCAATGTGGCTTTTTAAACGTCAAGAAAACAAAACTTTTTATATACATAACATAAAGCTTTATATTTATTTTCTTTTAAGATTTAAGCTTTAATTTGGTGCAAGAATTATTTTGTAGCTTTCATAAATAAGACCTCTCCAACTTTTTGAATTTTATCATATTTTTTGTGTTTTATCTAAAATATTCTACAACATTTCGCGTCTATGTGGTTTTTTAAACGTCACGAATTTGCCATNGATTTAAGCTTTAATTTGGTGCAAGAATTATTTTGTAGCTTTCATAAATAAGACCTCTCCAACTTTTTGAATTTTATCATATTTTTTGTGTTTTATCTAAAATATTCTACATTTCGCGTCTATGTGGTTTTTTAAACGTCACGAATTTGCCATAGAAACAAAACAAAATCCGTAAAACACGTGTGATTTAATAAATTATTAAAACCCTTATTACCTTCCCTATCACAGTAATTTACAATAAAACCCACCCCCAAAGGCAAGCCAAAATTGCAACGGGGCGTGCGTTGTACCTTGAAAACTAAGGCCCCATAAATACGGATCTGCATGTATAATTCAGGGGGACGAAGAGACGAGGGTTTGAGGGTGGAATACGTGTGACATCTGCCCTTATGTGCGGGTATCCTCCCCCAAGAGAGGCATAACGTAGGGCGAAAGCCACGATTTTGAGCGTATTTGTGTATTAGGAAACCTATTAGGGTGTTTGTTTTATTCCGAGTTTCGTTTTGATTATCCGAAATGGGCATAGAGAGGGACGAAATGATATTTAATTAAGGCAACGAAGAGGTTTTTGATGTCCCATACACGCACACAGTGAATAGGGGAAAGTTAATGAAGCGTAAGTTTCAACAAAAGTATAAGACGATACTGTGAGTTGGAAATATCGTAGAAAATATCACAGGAGTGCCGTATACACAATATTATTCAGTGGTATAGATTTCTCGAGACCGTAGGATGAAAAATTTACAAAACCCTTTGAATATTCCATGCAGCGTTTCTTTTTCCGGTTCGCTTTTCCCGGGAAGAAAATAGAAAATTATTAAACAGCGCGCGTCTAGGTAATGTTCCGTACACGAATAATGGGCCATGTAAAACAACGTGTACATGTTTAACGTGCTCCGACACATGCAATGGTCACGTGTAAAGGGCACCTCAATACATACACGAATCCCTCACAACCTTTTTTGCACGTACCTGCGTAAACACCTCTTTTATAAAAAATTTATTTGGGATCGTTTCCTTACACTTCATTCGATTGCGTTCCATTAAACTTGGATGGATTGGAAATGTTAATTGAAAACGTTTTTGGGATTATTTTAGAATGTTTTTTATTCATACACATTTTTGTAAATTTTAAATTTTGTCTTATAACCCATCTCATTCATATTGAAGCCCAGAAAAAAGAAAATTTGGAATTTCGGCTTATTAGGTTGGCAACAATGAAAGATGTTGGAGACGAATTCAGAAAATAATTTTGGAAGTATTTTAAAACACTTTTTAATAACAAATCTTTTTTCCAGGTGGTTTATTTTTCGAGATGTCACATACCTCGATATTTAAACTGCTAAAATAGTGATTTTTGAGATTATTCGCTTCGAAATAATTATAAATGGATTTGAAATATTTATGGAAAATGTTTTTTTGGGGATATTTAGGAATGTTTCTTACTCCCTAATTTTTTTGATCTAGTCTTATAAGCTATCTCATTCATGTTGAAAACCAAAAAATGGAAATTTCGGATTTTCCGCTTATTAGGTTGGAAATACTGAAAAATAGGTTGGAAACCATTGCGGAAAATAAATTTGGGAATATTTTAGAACACTTCTTACAAACAAATCTTTTTTCCCGGTGGTTCTTTTTTTGAGATATAACGTACCTTTTAGTTTCTGAGAAAATAATATTTGAAGTTTTGATAAAATTTTCATCGATAACTTTCAGAATTCGCTATAAAATTCATTTCTTGAAGAATCCTTGTGGAAATATCTCCAATTATTAATTAAAGTATCCTCTTTTGAATGCAACAAGCCGTTTTGAAAAATCACTTTCAGTTCTTGAGAAATAAATTTTTGAAAAAATCGACAATTTTTTCGAATTTTGCAATTTTCGCCGATTAAGTTTTAAAAATTTGCATAAAATCCATTTCTTGGAATATAAGTATGAAAATTTGTGTTAATAAAAGTGTCTTCTTTCCAATGAACCAACCCGTTTTGAAAAATAGCTTTTAGTTTTTGAGAAAATAATATTTGAAGTTTCGATAAAATTTTCGATGTTGCAATTTTCATCGATAACCTTCAAAATTCGCTATAAAATTAATTTCTTGAAGGATGTTTGTGGAAATATCAATAATTATTAATTAAAGCATATTCTTGTTAATGCAAAATGCCGTTTTGAAAAATCACTTTTAGTTCATGAGAAAAAAATTTTTGAAATAATCGACAATTTGTTACTAATTTTGCAATTTTCACCGATTAAATTTTAATAATTCGTATAAAATCGGTTTCTTGGAGTATGAGTATGAACATTTTCCAAAATGTTAATAAAAGTGTATTCTTTCTAATGAACCAACCCGTTTTGAAAAATAGCTTTTAGTTTTTGAGAAAATAATATTTGAAGTTTTGATAAAATTTTCGATGTTGCAATTTTCATCGATAACTTTCAAAATTCGCTATAAAATTCATTTCTTGAAGGATCCTTGTGAAAATATTACCAATTATTAATTAAAGTATCCTCTTTTTAATGCAACAAGCCGTTTTGAAAAATCACTTTTAGTTCTTGAGAAATAAATTTTTGAAATAATCGAGAATTTTTTGAATTTTGCAATTCTTGTCGATTAAGTTTTGAAAATTCGTATAAAATCCATTTCATGGAATATAAGTATGAAAATTTTCCAAAATGTTAATAAAAGTGTCTTCTTTCCAATGAACCAACCCATTTTGAAAAATATCTTATAGTTTTTGAGAAAATAATATTTGAAGTTTTGATAAAATTTTCGATGTTGCAATTTTCATCGATAACTTTCAAAATTCGCTATAAAATTCATTTCTTGAAGAATCCTAGTGGAAATATCACCAATTATTAATTAAAGTGTTCTCTTTTTAATGCAAAAAGCCGTTTTGAAAAATCGCTTTTAATTTTTGAGAAAAAAACACATTTTGCTCTGTTTTTACACTCAGCACTCAAACTCTTCGCAAATTTGGCTAACAGTGTCCATCTCCAGGTTCCGGTGGATGGCCCCTTTTGTTTCTAAAATTGATGTCTGTAGTCTATTTGTTGCTTCTTCATGATTATTGCCTATGAGCAGGATGGCTGTGTTATCAGCAAAAGTAGAGGTACAGGCCTGGTCCAAGTACACTTCCTTGTGGCACGCCTGCATTAATTTCTTTTAAATCTGAATAAGCATTTTCTTGCTTTATTTTAAAGGCTCGTTCTGATATATATGAGTCTAGCAGTTGTGCATACTGTTTGGGCCAGAGTTTGTTCAGTTTGTATTTCAGTTTTGGCATGAGGGCCAAACTTTATCAAATGCCTGAAGACACCTTGGCTAACAGATAATGTGAAACTTTTGATGGATTTAAGGGACAAAGCACTTCATAAATTTAAACGCACAAACAGATTACATGACTGGGACTATTACAAAATGTTGCGTTATTATACTACAGGTGCAATAAAAAGAGAGAAAAGAGCTTATGTAGAGTTCTCGGCAAGGAGTAAAAATAAAAAATAATTATGGTCAAGTTTAAAGAAGTGCGGTGTCCATTATAACATAAGTAGGGATATTCCTCTTTCACTTTCTGATGCTGATGAAATCAACAACTGTTTTTGTTCAGTTCAAAGTGACTGACTGCCAGATGTAGACCTTTTAAGAAGATTCTGTGGATGAGTTTGAGTTTGCTACGGTGACTGAGGAGGAGGTAGGAGATGCCTTAAGCGCTATTTTTTCCAATGCTCAGGAAGCTGGCCAACTTTCTATATCTATGATAAACATATGTTCTCCCTTGATCATACATTTCATCAGACACATTGATAATTTTTGTATAACTGAACATGTTTTTCCATCTTGCTGGAAAGAGTCGATCATTTTACCTATCGCCAAAGCAAGTAATCCTAATGCGGTGTCGGATTTAAGCCCGATTAGTATTTTGCCGGTGCTTTCGAAGACATTTGAAAACATTTTAGCGAAACAACTTAGACGTCATCTGAATGCGTGTAACATTTTGCCTGAATTCCAATCTGAGTTTAGACCTCATCATGGCTGCTATGGAGCGCTTATTATATATATGGAGACTTATTGTCTGCGGTTGATCAGGGGAGGATGTCGGCGCTTGTTATGTTGGACTACTCCAAGGCCTTTGATACTATCAATCATTCATTGTTGTTGAGTGTTTTGCAGTACATAGGCCTTGGGTGTGGTGCGATATCGTTGTTCGCTGACTATCTGGGGGGTAGGTCACAAAGTGTCATGATACATGGAAATAGATCTAGACCCACTCAAGTTATATCCGGTGTACCTCAGGGCTCTGTATTGGGTCCCAGTTTGTAAACGGCATATACATGCCGGTTATACGACTGTTTGCGTCATTGTAAGTATCATGCTTATGCCGGTAACACTCAGATATATTCATCTTTTAATGAAAAAGATGTTGCTGCTGCGCAAATCTCCCGTCTTCTGATCCCAAATATAAAACGAAGGCAAGAGTTCTGTACTCGTTGAATTCGAATTCTGTCCGCAGCATCAATGCAAGAATGGTAAAGCGGATCCCCGTAGTTACAGATGGATAACACAACTGCTTCGCACAAATGTATTCTTAATTTTTGATGTAAAAGGTTTTTGTTGGAATACAATAGCTTGAGGGTGGAATAAGCCCGCTGAAGAAGACTTCTAACATGACTTCTAAATCGCAAATCAGAGTCCAGCGCAACACCTAAATTACGTAC